TGTGAGTTCAAGCCCCATGTTGGGTGTAGAGATTACTTAAAAACAAAATCTTAAAAAAAAAAGGGCAAAAACCAAAACATGGGGAGAGGACTTGGAATACACATTTTCCCAGCGAAGGCATGCACGTGGCCACCAGGTAGACGACCAGCTGCTCACATCACATCCTGAGGGAAACGCAGAGCAAACCACGAGATGCGTCACACCTGTCAGGAGGGCCAACCTCCCAGGAGACACGGGCTGGCGAGGATGTGGGAAAAGGAACCGACGTGCGCTGCCGGCGCGAATGCCAACTGCTACAGCCACTCTGGGGAACGGGATGGAGGGTCCTCAAAAGACGAAACCCAGAATTCCCGTGTGATCCAGCAATCCCACTTCCAGCTCCTTATCCGAAGGGAAGACCCCTGCACTCCCGTGTCCACTGCAGCCTTAGCAGACCAGCCAAGCCACGGAGACGACCCGGGTGTCCGTCGGCAGACGGCTGCATGGAGATGGGTGGGTACGCACCGGCGCGCCCAGCCGTCAAAACCAGTGGAATCTTGCCCCTGGTGACCACACGGATGGAGCGGACGGGGTCATGGCAAGTGAAAGGAATCAGACCAAGACCGTAGGCTGTCACGTACATGTGGAATCCGAGACCGCAGCAGCTACGGAGCTCAGAACAGATGCGTGGTCGCCACAGGTGGGGGGGTGGGAGTGGGAGAAATGGGTGAACTGGCTTGTTTAAATAAACCGACGAAAGCCACAGGGCACCTAGACATACAGTAACGTAGCAGGGAAACCCGCAGGAGAGCGGCAGGTCTGCGCGTCCGCTGCAGCTGCTGGGGCCCTACGGACTCGTGCACGCACGCTTCCTTCCAGATGCTCTCAGATCCCCGCCAGAGGAGAAATCGGTACGCAGGGTGCTTTTGCAAATAACCCTTAGGTCTGTGTATACAATGGACACTGTGTTAATGAAAGCGAACGAAAAGAATGAGAGGTTTTCTTTTTATTTAAAGATTTTATGTATTTATTTGACAGAGAGAGACAGCGAGAGAGGGAACACAAGCAGGGGGAGTGGGAGAGGGAGGAGCAGGCTTCCCGCCGAGCAGGGAGCCCCATGCGGGGCTTGATCCCAGGACCCCGGGACCATGACCTGAGCCGAAGGGAGACACTTAAACACTGAGCCCACCAGGCCCCCCAAGAGGTTTTCTTTTAAAGCCTAGGTGCATGCATTTTTGTTCACCCTTCCTTTAGTGAGTCAAGACTGGGAGTGGGGGCACCTTGTGAGTTCCAATGGTTTCCAGATGGGGTTTCTGGCTTTTTCCCCCCTTCAATTAGTTGTATTACTTGATAAATCAGTTACATTACCAGGGGACTTTCTTCAAGTACCAATGTCACGATTCTCAAGTCCAAATAAAGCTGAACAAATAGTTTGAAAAAAAACAAACAAAAACATGAGGCGCCCAGCGGGCTCAGTCAGTAGAGGGCGCCACTCTGGATCTAGGGGCCGGGGGGGGGGGGGGGGTGTTGTTCCAGCCCCACCTTGGGCGTAGAGGTTACTCACGTAAAAATAAATTCTTAAAAACAAAAAGCAACAAACAAAACCAAAACGAGGCTCACAGACACTGAGAACAGAGGCGGGGAGTGGGCAAAATGGGTGCGGGGGGCCGGAAGGTGCAAACTTCAGCCATCAAATGAGGAGGACCTGGGGCCGGACCGCGCAGCAGGGCATCTACCCAGAACCGTCCTGCGTGGTGACCACGGTGCTCATGTCGTAATAGGTACAAGTGTGGAATCATTAGGTTGTACACCGAAACTAAGATGTTGTATTCCGATGACACCTCGATAAAAAAAAGGAACAAATTCCACAGTGGGCACCCAAGCCCATGGCCTTTCCCATTTCCACTGCAGATCAGATCTCTTCAGGCCGGTTGTCTTAAGTCCCCGTATAAACACCATTCCTCGTTCTCAGGACATAACTCACGTTCTCCCTCCCATTTCTTAGAGAAATCCTCCTCTCGCAAGTGCTACTGCAGGCATTTGGGCTGTGCCATGGAAAACAGGTCTGGAGTTAGTTACTGTTTAGAAAGTTTTAGATGTTACGGGCACCCGGGTGGCACAGTCAGCTGAGCGTGTGACTCTTGGTTTGGGCTCAGGTCATAATATCAGGGTCATGGGATCGAGCCCCACGCTCAGCAAGGAGTCTGCTTCTCTCTCTCTGTCTCTCCCTCCCCTGTGCTCTCTCTCTAAAATACATAAATAAATCTTTTTTAAAACGTTTAGATGTTAGAGTGGGTCTTACTTAGTTTTTAAATTTTTATTTATTATTTTTTTTTTTAGAGAGGGAGGGGGCAGAGGCAGAGGGAGGGAGAATCTTAAGCAGACTCGACGCTGAGTGGGAAGCCCAATGTAGGGCTTGATTCCATGACCCGAAGATCATGACCTGAGCTGAAATCAACAGTCAGACACTCAACCGACTGAGCCACCCAGGTATCCTGAGGGTCTTTTTTTTAGCATAAAAAAACTTTTTGAAGAAAAGTTTCGGGATGCCTGGGTGGGTCAGTCAGTTAAGCATCTGCCTTCGGCTCGGGTCACGATCCCAGGGTCCTGGGATCGAGCCCCACATCGGGCTCCCTGCTCAGCGGGGAGCCTGCTTCTCCCTCTGCCCCTCACCCCACTCGTACCCTCTCTCACGCACACGCTCGCTCTAATAAATAAAATCTTTTTTTTTTTCCTTCTTAAAAGAGATTTATTCACCTGACAGAGAGCACAAGCGGGGGAGAGGAGTGGGAGAGGGAGAAGCAGGCTTCCCGCGGAGCACGGAGCCCCATGTGGGGCTCGATCCCAGGACCCTGGGATCATGACCTGAGCCGAAGGCAGACGCTTAACCATCTGAGCCACCCAGGCGCCCCTAAATAAAACCTTAAGAAAAAAAAATTCTAGGAAAAGACACTATTCTCTGTTGATGACTTTTGCGTTCTTTTCTGTTGCTACTTTGGCTTCTGAAAAGGACTAAGACTTCACACAGGCGTTAACTGTGGGCCCTCTCAATATACAAACTTCTTCAAAATACGTGCTGAGGTGATCTAATCATAATTTGATGTTTTCTTAGCCCGCCTTGTAAATCAAAGAGCAAAAGCTCTGGGCAGAATTCCGGACGCAGAAGGAACGCACAAGGACCCCCCACCCCAGCGGAAGCCCGCGTCTGGCCAGGGACGGTTCACAGGCGCCAGAACTGCCCGGCAGGGCCGCGCACAAGACACACAGGATTAGGTGCCCCCTGACGTGGCCCAACAGGAAGTTCACAGTGTTACCTCGGAATTATTTTTGTAAAAAAGCAAAACGGAACACAAACCAACCCGCCTAGATCTGTCAGTGCACAGGAAATCCAGGGGACAGAAAAACATCTTAAATACCATTAGGATGCAGTCAGGAAAATCCAGAGACAATTCTGTAGAGAAAACACAGTTTCTTCAAAAAACAAATTGTAAGAAAAACGAAGAGGGAAGAGAAGCCTATAGATTGAGAAAGAACAAGGGGCATCAACGAAACGTTAGGATACAGAACGTGCCGGGGCGCCCGGCTGGCTGTCGCAGGAGCGGGCAACTCGATCTCGGGGTTGTTTGAGCTCCACAGTGGGCGTAGAGGTGACGTTAACAGATACAGAACGTGTCTGCACCTTGATTCAGATAAACCAACGGTAAAGAGCTGAGAGGAAAATTTGGACACTGAAGAGATCTGATACTGTAAAATGCTGTCTTAAGATTGTGATTATGGGGCGCCTGGGTGGCTCAGTCGGTTAAGCGACTGCCTTCAGCTCAGGTCATGATCCTGGAGTCCCGGGATCGAGTCCTGCATCGGCCTCCCTGCTCGGCGGGGAGTCTGCTTCTCCCTCTGACCCTCCTCCCTCTCATGCTGTCTCTCATTCTCTCTCTCTCAAATAAATAAATAAAATCTTTAAAAAAAAAAAAAAAAAGATTGTGATTATGGTCCCAAAAGTGCCCCATCTCTAGAGACTCAGTGGGTACGCAGACACAAAAACGGGAGTCAAACCAACCCAGAGGGAGGAGGGATCCGGGGGGCATACAGGTAAAACAGAGCTGACCACAGGGCAGCAGCTAGGAGTTGGAGGAGGAGTACACCGGGGTTCATTATACTATTCTCTTTATTTTTCGGTATTTTTGAAAATTTCCATAATAAAATAAGCTTTTTAAAACGAGTTTTGTTTTGATAGCGCTACATTAGCAAACATTTAAAAATTTTCTTTTTGAATGAAGACCTCCCAGCAGAAAAATAGAACTTTCTGATGGACCATTAATTGGCACATTAATTAAATCTTCCAAGTTACCTAGAAACTGACAAAGTAAGATATTTTCTAAAAATATGGCACAAATTGCTGAATGTTATACTTTATCCATGAAAGACCACTAAAAGCTGGAAGTTTAAGTAAAAACAGAGAACTCTGACAAATTTTAACTTTAATTCCAGGTAAGAGTGTGGGCTCTGGAGTCAGCCAAATCGAGGCTTGTATTCCAGTTCGGCCGTTTTCTGTCTACAAGATAAATGTCTTCTGGCTAATGGTAACTTCTGTGAGCCTCGGTTTCCAGATCTTTAAAAGCGGGTGTAACAGAATTTCTTGATCACCAAAGCACTTAGTTCAGGGCCTGCCACATAGTAAGTACGCAGTAAATAAATCAGAACAATTCCACTATCCTATTTCATCAATTCTGAATGGACGTTTTCGCCCTCGAGTCCCTCTGGGAATCAGGATGCCTCTCCTAAGAGGGTTTAACTGGCACTTTTTCCTTCCTTCATTGTGTGTAAAATAATGGTGTGTACTGCAAATGGAGAGCACCTAAGATTCGATATAAGGATATGGTATCAATCCTGGGAAATCCGTATTCCCAACTTCTGTTTAAAAATTATCACGAACATAGGATAACCGATTTGAAATTTTAAAAATTTCAAAGTAGGAGCAAAACAGTTCCAACACATCATGAACAGAACAGTTTTGAGACAAATTTTTGTAAAAACTGGTTTATCAATTCCATTTTTGTATAAAACACACGGGAGGACCCTAGCAATCAACACACGAGTGCCGCCACATGGAAAGGTACTTTATCAAACTTTGAGCCTAAGAACGTACAAATGTCTCTTAGCGCGTCTACGGTCATTGTCTATGCTTTTCCATCCGCCTCTTTTAAAAATTCCACATATCCCCATTATTTCTTCTGTCCCAGTTACAGTACAATGACGGGGAGGAAGGGGGTTGGTTAAAACGATGCTCTAAGCGGTTTTCTGCTGTCCCTTCTTTCCAATCAGAGACTTGTGGATGTGCGGGATCACACCTGGAGGGAAACGCACAGAAACACATGAACAACTCAGTGCCTCGACGAAGAGCGACCACACAGAAATGCCAGTCACTGGGGCCTTTCACACGCTGACCCTGTGACAGTACCTACAGCAAGGGCTCCCACTCTTGGGGTCCAGGAACCCCACTAAAACTATGCGAAACCAAGAGCACCCACAGCCTTCAGGAGGTTCTCTGAAGGTGATCCCGCAAGGACTGAGAACCACGGCTCACATCTCACCTGCACTCATCCCGACGCATGCCCTGATCTCAGCCCTGACTTCCAAGAGCAGTACCCTGAGCAGTTTCTCAAGATCATTTCTAAGACACAGTTACGGGGTATGGGAAATATTTTAAACACTAGTTTCAAATATCATGTATGAGCTTTAGCCAGGGAGCTAGCTATAATAAAAGTAGCACTGTATTTGGCTACAAGAAGAAATATGTATTCAGATCAGGATGAACAGAAGAAGCCTTCGTTGTAATGGACCCAACACTGAGGGACTTCGCGCGCGCACGTGTGTGTGTGTGTGTTCTAGCTGACTTCACATGCACTGGCGACCCCTGATCTCACATATGTCATCTTACAAAGGCCAGTGACGAGCGAGGCTGAAGAGGTAATCCTACGTACCACCCCCAGCGATGGTCGCCTTGATAAGAGAATCCAACTCTTCATCACCACGGATTGCAAGCTGCAAGTGGCGCGGAGTGATCCGCTTTACCTTGAGGTCCTTGGAAGCGTTGCCCGCCAGCTCCAGCACCTACGAAGCATCCAGAGAGAGCAGGTCAGAGGGTGAACGGTCTGAGGATCGGCGGAGACGTGCAATTATAGCAACAAAGACCCCTGCAGCATCCGTACGCAACAGATACATGAACCGACAACACGGGTCTTTCGTGCTTCGGATGCTTTTAGAGGGATCTCCTTACTTCACTGGGCCCTTTTATATCCACTTGCTGTAGGAACACTAGACACTTGAGCAAGAAACCTGCTGCTACAGAAAGAAGGGCGAGGGAGAACACTATCCCTTCGCCGAGATTCTCAGTGTGAACATCTAGGAAAATCATTCTTTTCCCATGTCCCTGTAGTCTATTTTCGCCCAGCCCTTAACGGCTGGGATGTATTTCTTAGTACTCGTAGAAGTTTAAAAACATAATGAAAGTAATTTCTCACTCAGAGTTTTTAACATCTCTGGGCCCTATAATCTGCAGGCAGCATGCTTTCTTCTAGAATGGGAATTTTCAACTAAAAGAATTTCCAAGTCCCAGCTGGCCGTAAAACTGCATCTGTAATTTGTTTTTTTGCCTCCCCGGACTACACCAGCATTATACAACTCCTGATGGAAGTCCGACAGAAGTAACTCCCCGGAGCCATGTGGAGACGGAGCGGCGGGAGCCCTGGTGTGCACCGGAAGCCACAGGCACACTTTACAAGCCGCCGGGACCCTACTCCGTTATCCCCTGAGACTCCGGCTGGTCTGGGGGGCGGCCTGGTAGCAGCATCTTTCGAAAGCTCCCCAAGTGATCCTAGTGCAAAGCCAAGGCTGAAAAGTGATTATCCCTGACCTTAGATTCCAGTATATTCTTTACTTCTGCTAATAACTAAACCCCCAAACTTAAGTATCTGGAACATTCTGAGCCAGAAGACTACGCCTCCACACGAGTCAAAGCAGTGTGCCCCTCTTCAAAGTCTGCCGCGAAGCACACGCACACTGGTGTGAGCTGCGGGAGAAAGCGGGGCAGAGGCTCCCCGCTGCCCACACTAAATCCCTGGCCTAGGACCTTACAGAGACGAGACTGTCTGTAGGTCAAGGACTCAGGGAGGCTAACGGAATGGCAGCGGTGACAATACACACATCAAACTTCCATCTTTCAGCCCCGGTCCCAACCACAGCCCTCCTGAGGAAGAACCTTCCTGTTCCACCAGGTTGGCTATATCACCACCACCTGACTTGCCTGCTACTCTAGTTACTTCCCTGGCTTGGGATGTGACTGAAGGAGTTTCGGAGCCTGAGAAGGGGCCGGAATGGAGGCACCGCTGATCCATCACCCAACTATTAAGGATTCATTAACTTATCTTCCGAAATGTCAAACTGACCAAGATACGGCATTTTATGCATACGACCCCACAGAGAACCAAAAGGATCCACTAGGTCTTTTACCAAATTCCTTATCACCATCACATATCTGTGATTTTAAAAAACGTATCATCACACTGGCAAACCCTTACCCCACCCCAAATCTTCACTCACAAGGAGTTTCTGGTCTAACCTCACAAAGATCACACAGCAGTGATACGTACAGTCATGGCTCCCTGTGTTACTAGTGTGGTATTGAGAGTATAGGATGTTCCTTTGCCACATCGCTTAAAAATAGGGATTGCTGACCCTTGTCTGAACAAGAGTACATCAAGGTGCCTTTTGACCCTGGTACTGAGTAACAAGCCGGTACGAGGCATCCAAAAGGGCGTATGTCTTTTTGTTTCGAGCCCCGACTCCATCGGTTCCGGCCCTTCCGAGTGCAGGCCCCTTCCTGACCCCACACACAAGACAGCCCCCCAGCACACCTCCGCAGTGAGGTACTCCAGGATCGCAGCACTGTAGACAGCAGCCGTGGCACCGACCCTCCCGTGGCTCGTAGTGCGAGTCTTCAAATGTCTGTGGATGCGGCCCACGGGAAACTGAAAGACAGACCACCAGGATGGGAAGCACCTGAGAGTCTTAGCCTGTGACCGAAGGCTGAGTAACGGGGGTAACGCAGGAGAGAAGGTAAATTTGGTTGTGCCTATCAGAAATCAGACCTATCTAGCAACGAACAGTTCCTAGGACCTGTGCATGTCCTAGTAAGGAGCCCCAAATCTTCATGCCACTTACCCTCCGGAGGAGAGAAGAAAAGGTAGAACACCACGAACCAGGAATTCAACCCCAATATGGAGCGTCATAGCCACGGGCAGAGAAACCACGTGGTGCAGCACCCACTGCACGTCCCACAGGGCCTCGTGTCGTGTCAGGATCATTAATCCCTTCACGGAACAGCCTCATGGGACTTCCTCTCCCACCACCTTCCTCAGGCCCCAGCGCCACCCTTCCTTGCTGTTTCAGGAGGTGATCTGATAGCTAAGAAAAACTAACACCATTTTCTCACCGGGACTCTGAGAGGAGGAACTTTCTCAGCTCACAGGGGTCCTTGTGCCGCACCCCTGCACCCCTGACCGCCCCCACCCCACCCCCACACTGCTCCCCAGCACCGCGGCAGCTCTACCACCTTCCCACTCGCTCCTTTCATCTGCACCTCACTCAAAACAACTCCACGTCTGTGGCAACAGCTCCAGTTTGTCTACATATCTCCTTTCCAAAGGCAAGACTGACTGATTTATGTTTAAGTAGGCGCCACGCCCAGCATGGAGCCCGACTCGGGGCTTGAACTCACCACCTCGAGCTCAAGAGTCGGACACCTAACCGACTGAGCCACCCAGGCGCCTCTCCAAAGGCAAAATTTAAAAGGAAATCCTGAAACCCTAACTTTCCTGTCACCTGTTTTATTCCAATCCAAACCTGGCTTTTGCCAAACATCATTCTTTTCCCCTGCTTCATTCTTCCCCTCCTGCTACCTTCTTCTTCTTTTTTTTTTTTTTCTTAACATATATTGCATTATTTGTTTCAGAGGTACAGATCTGAGATTCAAGTCTTGCACAATTCACAGCGCTCACCATAGCACATACCCTCCCCAGTGTCTATCACCCAGCCACCCCATCCCTCCCACCCCACCCCCCACTCCAGCAACCCTCAGTTTGTTTCCTGAGATTAAGAATTCCTCATATCAGTGAGGTCATATGATACATGTCTTTCTCTGATTGACTTATTTCACTCAGCATAACACCCTCCATTTCCATCCACGTCGTTGCAAATGGCAAGATCTCATTCCTTTTGATGGCTGAGTAATAATCCACTGTATATATATATCACATCTTCTTTATCCATTCATCTGTCGATGGACATCTTGGCTCTTTCCACAGGCCAAACATCATTCTTGAAGGTCAGTGGTAACACTTGAACTGCCAAATCTAGTGGCCATTTCTAGATCAAATTCTTAAGGAGGAAAGGCATGGTATTCTGTTTGTTTACACTCCTTCACTAAGTAATCCTGAGCTCCCCCAGAGCAGGCATATTAGGACCTGCAACCCCATTTCTTCGTCAGCTGCAGAGATTACAGAGTTCTAATGGTCTTCCAGTTCAGGCTGGTCTTCAGGCCTTTCTTTCTCTGACTCAAATACCATGTGTTTCTGAGGGTCCACCCGGGTCCTCGTGTTCCTTTCTCATGCTCTACATAGCAAACATCCATAGCATCAACTACCAACTTTACATACATGATCTTAAACTTGTCATTCTTTCGATCACTCCCTCTTGGAAAGGGGGCTCAGATCTATGACTTTTGGATGTCTTTGTGTGTGTTTTGCTGGAACTTCAAATCACTCACCTGAAATTATGTCATAACCTGTTTCTGCCACAAGACAAACTCCTCTGACCCTCAGATTCCGAGCCTTAGGGAAACCTTTCTCCCCTTGCCTCTCAACCCTATGCCTCCCCTTCCCCTCGTGGAGGACACACACACGCCTCCCATTCCTTCCGCCCTGCTCTGGCTCAGGTCTGTGTAACCTGACCCCTAAAAGCACCAAAACAGCCTCCGCGGTCTTCCCGCTGTCACCTGACATTTTCAGGTTTACACGATGCTCTAAAATACAGAATTTACCATCAAGAGTAACTTCACCCCCCTTCCTTCAGTACCCCTGGATCATGTCATCCTCTTGCTCCAAAACTTTCAGTGGCTCACCACAGCCAAGAGGATAAAAGCCCCAACCTTACAGTCTGGCCTTCACACTTTCCTTTTAAAAGGGTCTCTTATATGCAGGGAGTAATTCTCACTCATTCAGAAAATCTTGAGTTTGGGGATTAAAGTTGCAACAACTGAAATATAAGAAGTTTGAAAATATTTAGTGTTTTGAGTACATCACTCCAGTCTGCAACTGAAGCTACTGGGGAAATATTCAAAGGACAAATGAATAGCCCATTATTCTACCCAAGTCTATCTCATCCTCAGAGTTACCTCTATCTCATCCTCAGAGTAACCATACCACTGCAGATACCTTCTCCAAAAGAAAAATTGAAGCAGACTTATTTTAATGTGATACAATTTATAAAAGAGCCAGGAACATACTTACGATCTAGAAGTAACAGATTTTAAGAGAGCTAAATCACAGAGTTCGTTTAAGGTCATTTCACAACTTGTTTTCATTTAGAAGAATACGAAGTAAAAGACTGTTGTTTTAGGATTTAAATTTAGACCAAATAATCTCATTAAAAGGCCAGCAATACAAGTACATTTTCATAGTTAATGAAACATCTATGGGTCCTGAATCACAACAGTAAAACTAATTTAATAGTGAATTACGAGAGCATCATTTACCTGCAGACCGGCTCTCTGGGAGCGAGACACTGCCTTAGCCTTGGCCTTCCCACTGTCCTTTCCGGCTTTGCCTCCAGCCTAAGTGAAAAAAAGGTCCAGGTGAAGAGTTGGAAATGCTATTTCAAAAATATTTGGGAAACAATTTCTTCCAGTTTTACCTCAGGTAGTTAAAAAAAACTCTAGGTGATCTCCTTCCTCAATTTCAGATATACATGTGTTATATCACCATTTATTAATTCATATAATCATGATGTCAAACCTTAAATATCTATTTAAAATGAGGTTCCTAAAAGTTAATTTAGGTTAAATTTAACCCTGAAGAATCTTCATCAAGTCAATATAACTTTTACGCTGGAAATATTTCATAATGAAATATTTTAAAGACATTTAAAAAAAGTTACCATGTATCATTTCCACAGAAATAGTCAGAAGTTAGCTATTTGGGGAGAGAGGAAAAAAAGCACCTTAAAAAAACCAAACCCTCAAAAACTTACTCTTGGAAACAGCACGTGACCCAGCAATCCCACCCCGGGTCTCCACCCACAGGACTGAAAGCAGGGGCTCCGACCGCGCACGTCCAGACAGAAACGGCCGTGTCTCTGGAGGTAGGGAGTGCAGTGCACGCGTAAAATGGACGAGTGCTCAGCTATGAAGAGGACATTCTGGCACCTGCTCGGACACGGACAAACCCTAAAGCCATGGCCCTAAAGGACAAATACTGTTGATGCATCTTACAGGAGGCCCCTGGTCCCAGCCAGAGGGACGCAGAGAAGGGTGGTTGCCAGAGGCTGGAGAGGAGCCGCAACAGAGGCTTAGTGCGTAATGGGAGCAGAGTTTCACTGGGGGAGGAAGGAAGAGCTCTGGAGATGACTGGCAGTGCCGGCTGCGTAACAACTGAATGGACTTAACGCCCCTGACTGGACACTGAAGAGTGGCTAAAATGGCAAGTTTTGTTACGTGTATTTGCTGCCAGCTTACACCAAAAGGGTCAAACAAACCCTACTATCAACAGCTAGCAAAAGAAATATTCAAAACGTCTTACAAACAGGACATCGTCCAGAGACGCAGGGGAAAGTATGCAGCCATTTCAACAAATGAGACGCGGTGTGTGCGATACAGAACCCCCGCAACAGATTTCTTCGAGAAAAAGGCGGAGCATGTGCGAGGGCAGTGAGCTCCTACTTCTGCAACACGGGGCACTGCACACACAGGACGTGTGCACGTGCGTTTCCGGGAGGTGGCAGCGAGTCCGACAAGTCAGGGGCCTCTGGGGAGGGGACAGCGAGAAGCCGCCTGGCAGAGAAACCCAGGTTCTCTTCTGGACTGCGATTTTACCGGCCCAATCCGATACGGCTTCAGTTTAAAAAAAAAGCTGCTTAAAACGTAAAATCAGTTTACAAGATGGGCCAGCTGTCTCGGGGAGTGGAGCGAAGCTTTGGGCCCGCAGATCCTTCCTAATGCGCGTTTCTTAAGAGAATTTGCGAGCTACCAAAATCAATCGCACACACTCCGCCCAGTTGCCTGTCGCAGTGGTTTTTCGTTTGTTTCTTCTCAGTCGGTTTAACGTTTAGCTCCCCAAACGCTGTTAGGTTAGCAGGTATTCGGAGCAGGAAACACGTCTACAAACTACTCCTTCCTTACGCTCGGTCCTTCAGCGACAGGGAAGGCTGGGGCGCCCCTCACACCTGAGCAACTCCCGCCCGCACGGCTACACAGGAGGAGGACCCGTGTCATTTCGGGTTTCTGGCTTCGGCTGACACTGAGCTCCTCACTCGCGCGGCCGACACCGAAAGCGCTTTAGCCCCGGAGTCAGAAGTTTACAGCGACGGCCGCTGTCCCCGGGCCGGGCCAGGAGGGACGAGCGAGCTCCCATCACGAGCCGCCACCTGCCAGAGCCCGAGGGGACTCTCGTCACGCGGTGCCAGCCGCGGACCCGCGGTGTGCGCTGTCCCACTCGCTCGGAAAGGCAGCGGGCACCGAGCCGCAGAGACGCAGCGGCCCGCGGAGGTCCGCGCCGGGTCGGAGGGGCCCGGCCGGCCCGACACCCGCCCGGGGCCGCGGCTCAGCAGCAAGCCCACAACTCGCCGCCGCCGGCATTTGTAGCTCCCGAGACGGGCCCGTGCGCTTGGCCGCTGGCGGAGGGACGCGGGTCTGCGGCGCTGCCCGGGGACACCGCCGAGAGGCTGCCCGCCCGGGACACAGGCCGGCCTCACGGCCCGCTCCCCTCTCTGCGCGCCGGCGCCACGGCGGGCGGGGCGGCGACGCCTCAACAGGTAGCGGCGCCACCCGCCGCCGCCGCACGGCCGCCACCCTCACCATGGTCTCGGCCGCTCCCGCCCTCGCTCCCGCCGAGCCGCCGCCGCCGCCGCCGAGCCGCCACCCCGGAGCACCGACCGCCGCCGCCGCCGCTGCCGCCGCCGGAGCCCGGACAATAACCGGGGCCCGCTCCGCACCGCCCCGGCCAATCCCCGCTCGCCTTGCTGGTTTGAACCCCGGCGGCCGCCCAATCGTGCGACCTCTTCTAGCCAGGCCCCGCCCCCGGCACCTCCTCCCTAACGGCTGTTTGTTTTTGCACACGGCACGCGGGGGCGGGGCCTCCAGCCCCATCACCGACGCGCCTGTGTGCGGGCGGGGGCGGGGCCACGCGCGGCTCTCGGCCTGTCTCCAGGGCTCCAGCCCGACGAACGGAGGGGCGGGCCAATGAGGGCGGACGGCTGTCGGTAGCCAGCCAATGAGAACACCGCCCGCGAGCAGGGAGGCGGGCCGCCGTGAACGACGGCGGGGTTAGCCAATGGGTGGGGCGAGCGGAGGCGGCGGTGGCTTTCCCGCGCGCTCTCTGCGCCCGCTCTGCGGCCGGTGAGGAACTCTTGGGGCGCCAGCGACGGGGGGCCTAGCTTGTGCGCGTGCTGCCCGCAGGCCGAGGCCCTCGGTGGCGGGCGTTCGGGTCCCGGCGGCGCCCGAGCGCGGACAGAACGCGGACACCGGAGTGCGGCCGGCCGCCCCAGGACCGGCCCCGCCGGGGTGGTCCTGCCGTTATCCTTCCGCGCGCGCGGCGCCCTGCGTCGGCCTTTGTCCCTGCTACGCCTGCCGCCTCCTCCGGCGTCCGCCGGGGGTTCGCTCCTGCGCCTGCGGGGCGGGCACGGGGGGCGGCGTCCGCGCCGCCGGCGGGACCCGGAGGTTTCCGTGGGGGCGACCTGTGGCCGCCGGGGTGGGGGCGGGGTGTGGGCCCGGCATCCCGGGGCAGGTGCCCTCGGTGTCCCGGCCCGCCCCGCGCCCCTCCCCCGCGCACCTGCAGACTCCGCCCCGGAGACCCGACCTGTCGCCTCGCTCCCTGGGTGTGTGGTCCGCGCAGGGCACCTCGTTGTCCCACGGCCGTCCCACGGCGCGGGTTTTGGGTGAGGCCAGGTGCGCAGCCTGGGCCCGCACGGACCTCCGCTCGCCGCCTGCTTCGCGGCTGGGTTGTGCGACGGGGCGCCCTGGAGGGACACCCAGGCCGGCGGGAGAGGGACGCGTCTGTCCGCTCTGAGCGGCACCCGAGCAACGCTCTGCTCCTTCCAGGGCCGCAGCCGAATCTGTTCTCCCAACACCCGCAAAACCGGCCTGGCGCGCCTCCCGCGCAGCAGCCCCGCCAGCCCTGCGCTGCGCTCCCGCCCCCGGGTCCTTCCCCGGGGCTCTAAGGTTCTGCTTTTCGTTCTTCAGGGTGACTAGCTCCGAGTTGTCAGCGGCTTAGTTCACCCAGCATCAGGTGACAACTCTGTCCAGTTAGCAACCCTTTGCATCCTCTGTCCAGACAGCGTGGTGTTTTCTGGAAACTGACGGACCTTGACTGATACGCACAGGATATGTATGTTGGTAATACTTTATTACGAAAAGTTTTAAATGGGGACACCTGGGTGGCTCGGCAGCTGAGCGTCTGCCTTCGGCTCAGGTCACGATCCCGGGGTCCTGGGATCGAGCCCCGCATCGGGCTCCCTGCTCTGCGGGGAGCCTGCTTCTCCCTCCGTGTGCTGCTCCTCCTGCTTGTGTTCCCTCTCTGACAAATAAATAAAACCCTTAAAAAAATAAGTTTGTTTAAAAAGAAGAAAAAGTTTTAAACGTATGCAAAGGTCGAGTGAATAGTACAATGAACTTGAAGTTCTGCTCACACAACTAGTGACCATGGACTCCTGGCCACTTTATTTTAGATTCACATTTACATCTGCCCCACCTCTAGCTGGGTTACCTTGAAGCAAATCCAAAAGGAAAGCAAAGGAGCAACAAATGTTTCGGCAGGAAAACAGTTTCCTTACAAAAACCTCCAGTCACCTTGAATTTGTGCAATGCGCACGCATTGTTTCCTTGCACAATAAAACACAAAAGAAGAGCTAACTAAAAGCAAGCAGAAGGAAGAACATGATACAGATTTGAGAGGAAGTGGAGAATAAGAAAAACAGCAGAACGAGATCAATGACGCTAAAAGTTGGTTCTTGGTAAAGATCAACAAAATTGATAAACGTTCGGCTAGACTAAACAAGAAAAAGAAAAGAGGATCCAGATTAGTGATATCAGAAGTGAGAGAGGGAAGATCACTACCAACCTTACAGAAACAAGAAGGACTATCGGGGAATGTTTTTTGGACAACTGTGTGCCCTTAACCTACATGAAATGGGCAGAGTCCTGGGAAGATATAAACTCCCAAACCAGACTCCAGAAAACAGTAGGAAACCTGAATAGACGTATGACAAGTAGAGAAATTGAATTAGTAATTTAAGATCTTCCTACAAAGAAAAACCTAGTCTTCACTGTTGAATTCTGTCAGAAGAATTAATACCCATCCACCACAAACTCCTCCAAAAAATAGGAGGGGACACTTTCCAATTGATTATTGGAAAGTCCCAGTGTTACCCTGGGACTAAAGTAGGACAGAGACCCTATGAGAAAAAAAAAAATCTCACACACCAATCTCCCTTACAAATATAGAGACAAATTCCTCAACTTGTGAGAACAGACTCAGCCACATGTAAAAAGGCTTATATCCCAGGAATGCAAGGTTGGTTTGACATAGGAATATCAATGCAATATGCCATATTAGTAGAATTAAGGACAAAAACCACATGATCATCTCAATAGAGGCAGAAAAAGCATTTGACAATATCCAGCACCTTTCATCATAAAAACACCCAGCAACGAAGATTAGAGGGGAACTTCTTCAACCCGACAGAGGCCATCTGGAAAAACCATCGCTAGTACCATACTTAGTGGGGGTGACTGATGCAAAACCCACACTTCTTGATTTTAAAACTTACCATGGGGCGCCTGGGTGGCTCAGTCAGTTAAGCGTTCGGCTCAGGTCATGATTCAAGGGTCCCGGGATCAAGTCTCGAGTTGGGCTCCCTCCTCAGTGGGGAGTCGCTTCTCCCTCTGCCCCTCCCCCACTTGTGCTCTCGCTCACTCTCTTTCAAGTGAATAAATAAAAATACTTTAAAATAAATAAAAAATAAAACTTACCACAAGGCTGCAGTGATCGAGATGGTTCAGTGCCGACATAGGGTAAACAGATCAGTGGTATCGACCAGAGTCCGTCTCTGGTCGCTCCGTATTTGACAAGGGCTTCGAGACGATTCAATGTGCAAAGCACAGTTTTTCAAGAAACGTTACTGGAAGCTGCCTGAAGAGAATTTGTTTTCTTTTTCTCATTCAGTCATTCACATAGAAATGCATTGCCAGGAAATGAATGAACATTCAACAATGAATTATTTAGGGTGAGCTGTGGGTTGGCTTTTGAATATTCTTTGGTATTTTCTAAATTGTGTTCCTTGGCTATGTGTCAGCTTTATAAGTGCCTTTATAAAAAATGCATTTAAAAATACTTCAATTTTACATGGGGGAGAAGTAAAATAAAAAATGTGATAATAGAACAAACGACTACATTTTTCAAGAGTTAAAACTCACGCAGCCTTAAAATTTCAGGGTCTGCTCTGTGCCAGACACCATCCTAATGGTAAGTACCTTCTATACATGCTTTTTAATCCTTATAATAAAAAGCAAAGTACAATCTGGGATCCTCATTTTATATGCGAGAAAGATCCAGAAAGGCCATGTGACTTGTGTCATCTGTAAGTGGTCTCTGATTCTTTTGACTGTTTACCAAATTTTAGTGCTACAACACGGAGACCCTCTCAATTTCAGTCTATTGCAGGACAGAATATACATTTAAATTTAAAATAGGAATTCCACTAATAGAGTCTGTCCACCAGCTGAGATATTCTAGAGTGCTCTGCCAATATTTAATTTGCTCATTCTTCCCTTCCTTCTGAAGGGACCACATTCACTGTTTTCCAGTTTCCCAGTGTGACTTCCCAATAATTGCAACTAAGAGTTTCAAAAGCTGAAGTTCCTTTCCTTTTTTTTTTTTTTTACCAGCTAAAATGGATTTCTTTGGAAATAGCGGAGAATGACGATTCAGGACATAACAAAAGCTGAAGTTTATTACCAATTCATGCAGCAAATGCTTGAATGAATGGTTTCCAACTGATTTTGGACAAAATACCACCAAAATTTAGAGGTCTCGTTTACAAGAAAAAAATGTCAATTCAGTATACGTTGATTTTCAACAGCTCATGGCTCAAACTTTTTTTTTTTTAAGATTTTATTTATTTACTTGTCACAGAGAGAGAGACAGCTAGAGAGGGAACAGGAGCAGGGGGAGTGGGAGAGGGAGAAGCAGACTCCCCGCTGAGCAGGGAGCCTGATGCGGGACTCGATCCCAGGACCCTGGGATCACGACCTGAGCCGAAGGCAGACGCTTAATGACTGAGCCACCCAGGCACCCCTCAAACATTTCTAAAATAGGATGTTGAACAACAAAGAGAGAACACCCACACCGCTGTGCTCAAGGGCTTGTTAGGTTCAACATTCACTGTTTCACAAAAATTTTGTAGTTTAGCTGCTCTGAAACCTGTTAAAAGTTGGAGACTATTCTGTACTTTTTTTTGGTAAGACTTTATTTGTCAGAGAGAGTGAGCAGCACAAGCAGGGGGAGCAGCAGAGAGAGGGAGAAGCAGGCTCCCCACTGAACAGGGAGCCCGATGCAGGGCTCAATCCCAGGACCCTGGGATCAGGACCTGAAGGCAGACGCTTAACTGACTGAGCCACCCAGGTGTCCCTATGGTGTAGGTTTGAGTCAGGAGGCTATCACAGCTCGCTTAGACACCTTATGAGTTATGTGCGTGCCACGTCCAATTCCGAGTGCACTTATGCTCCATAGATTTCTTCATTTTTGCACCACTAGGCTCCAGCCAGCTGTGCGTTCCTATTACCACAAGAACAATTTCATCTTAGTCGTTGGACTCTTTTTTTTTTTTTTTAAAGCTAAGCTTTTTGCCCAGTGTGGGGCTCGAACTCATGACCCTGAGATCAAGAGTCCCATGGTCTGCCCAGGAGCCAGGCAGACGCCCCAGTTGTTGAACTTTTAAACTGATTTCACAGTAACATTCAAACGATATCAGATGATTTCACCGTCAGCATTGATCATAAGGACTGAGTGAAAATTTGAACCTCAGGAGAACTGATAAAGTTGCTGATTCTATTTGAGCCAGGTTGAGGCACTGGTTGACCTGGCATCACGTGGCTGAAGTCGTCTA